CGACACCAAGTAAAAATGGAGGAGATCTGAATAAACTATGAGCTTAAATTAAGCATTACTTTAAGCTTATTACTTATGAATCAACACTGTTCCGAGCGTGACGAACGCCCCACACTGGAATAAGAGCCTGCTGATGGGAGGCTGCTGACGGGAGGCTGCGGGCTGCGGCGCTGGGGCCCCCGGTGTCACCTCTGCCGCTTCTCTGCAGCGACAACGGCTCCAAAACAACATTTCTTTAAGCAAACAGCTCCCCAGCGCCAAGACACACACGGGGGGCGTGGTGACCCTGGCTGACGGGCGGGAGGCCCCCGTCGCACGCCCCTCCTCTTACGCGGCCCTCTCCCCTCTGGGGGCCCGCGCACATTTTTCAGATGAGAAAGCTCGAAGCCGGGGAGGAGTACTTGACCGGGTCACATTTTTGTTCAAGAAGCAGGAATGGAATGTGCATCTCAGGCTCCGGTTCTGTGGCCAAATCTCAGCTCTGGTGGCCACTCCTCGTCTGCACCCAGCGCTCCGGGCACTTCCATCCCGGCAGCCCCCAGCCTGGGGCCCAGCCCCTGGCTCTGCAGCAAGTGGCCCTGAGCATGGCACCCACCACCCCACCTCCAGCTGTGAAAGGGGGCCGGGGGCCCAGACCCCTTCTCATCAGAGGGGAATTCAGCTGGAGAAAGAATTATTTCAAAAAGGCAAAGTTAGAGACGATGCAGGAATGATGAGGGACGGAAAGGCCTCAACTCCCCATTCGCTCTAGAGCCGCGGCTGTGGTCACACCTGCACCGGTACCTCCCTCCGAGGCCGGCGGCCTTGTCCTGCCCAGGAAACGGCAGCCTGGGAGCACCAGGGGGCGGCTCTCCTGGAGCTCCCGGATCCACGGGAGGTAGGACAGGCCCGGGAGAAAGTCTGGCTCCAGGAGGGAGGCAGCGGAGGCAGGCCACGTGCCAGGGGTGGGGGCGGGCAGGGACAGCCGGGCACAGCACCCTGCTGAGCAGCTCCGGCCTGAGACCCCCATCCCCGGAGGAGACCCCAGCCCCTGCCCCACGGCTGGACCCGGGGCAAGGGTATCTGAGTCGAGACGGGCCTCCACGCATCAGCATCCACCAGGCAGCTGGACATGACACTCACCGTCTGGCAGGGAGACGCCGACTGCCGGCCTCCAGCTCCAGCAGCTCGGGGAGGGCGTCCCTCAGGGGCTGCAGGTCCCCCACCACCACCGTGGCCCGCCGCCTCCGCTCCGCCTTGCGCTTCTGCTCCGCCAGCTTGATGGCTTCAATTTCTGCGGAGGGGACAAGGGGTCAGCAAGAGATGACGACCAGAGGACAATCACCCTCCACCACCTTCACTGGCAGGTGGGATACCAGCAGTAAGGGTCCTGACCCCCAGCCCACCGGAGCCTGAGCTCGGCCCTGGAAACCTGGGGGCGGTGGCTCTGAGCTATTTTCTCCCCCTAATCATGGAGGCACACTGTCTAATCACAGGGTTGACAAGGAGACTGGGTGACAGGCACTGAGGATCTTTTCCAGAGAAGGGACGACAGCGTGTGGCCTGGACTCGGGAGTGGGGGCTCGGGGGCCACACAGTCAGAGCAGTTGGCACCTTCCTCTCTGCTCCCAGTGCCTCCTGGGGACACAACCAGGAGGGAGAAAGTGGTTCCCACAGGAGCAGTCCACAAGGCGGGAGGGTCCCGAACACCGAGACGGTGAGTGTCCAAGCCCAAAACGAGAGGGAAGGCGTGCCACTGGGTCTCGAGACATCTGTGCACAGGGGGGCGGGCCCGTGGGGACGGGGCGCCAGGACAGCCCGCAGGAGGGGGTGGCGGGCCCAGGGCTCCAGTGTGCGGCGGGGAAGGCAGGGCAGGGAGGAACTGCGGCCCCTCCGTGGAGAAGGGGACAGTGTCTCGGGATTTGACCTTCATTTTAAATACATTTACTTCAAAACTGCTCAAAAAACAGGTAGTCAACACATTGTTTCCACCTTGTGGCTCGTGGAAAACACCGGCTCACAGGTCTGTGTGCAGATCTCGCCCCAGGGAGACCGCCTGACTGTGGCAGTTGATTAGTTAATTGATCTGCATTAGATTCCCTTTATTTAAAAAAGAAAAAAAGCCCTGCTATGAAAAGACCTGGAAACGCGGCTGC